ATTCGCTTATCTAATTTCTCTTTACTATTGTTGCCCTTTGATTTTTATTGTGCCAAAGCTCATTTCTGGTCATCACTAGCCAGAATTTTAAAATGAAGATGCAGTGTTTTTTCTGCTTTCAGTGACATTTCCCATTTACTATTTTTGTGCTTTGACCATTTCTCCCTATCATCATCCCTATCACCCTTGCATACTACATCAAAGTAAATTAATAAGGCTATTGCCATAGTATTGGAGAATTCTTAAGATTGATTAATACTTAAAGACATTTCAGGGAATGTTTTGTCTAATTTACTGTCAGAACAGCTGTTGGTAAATACCTCAAAGAAAACTCGCAAGTGCATGCACAATAATATCTCTGTATGTAGCAAGGCATTTAGAATTTCAGCCATTGCCGTAGAAGTTCAGGGTTTTCTCTGAGGGTGTTAGCCAAATTGCCACGGATTATTAATAATTTTGGGGAATTATGATATTAAAAAGGGCAATAGGCAATTATGGGAGCGATCACCTATGTATACAGGGGTCCCGCTTCTTCCAGAAACACCAGAAATAGACACAGAGACCAACTTCAAAATGAAATGGCTTCTTTACTAATGGTTCTTCACAAACATACAATTACACGAACATGCTCACAATTACACAGATCTAGGAAAATTAGATAGAAATGGATAGCGACATTCGCATGAGCAGGATGTTTAGTTGATGGGCAATATTTACCTGTTCTTGGCATGATGAAGCAATCCACAGGAAAAATAATAAAAGGGAGACTATGGGGAGCTGGGGTTGTATTCTGAACCAGCAGAACATGTGGAGACTCTGGCTGTGCAAACCAAGAGCCGTGGAGGTAGGGTGGGGCCTAGAGGTAAGGAGAGAGAGCGCACGTAGCCTAAGCTGGCTCTTTTATGAGGGGGCTTGGGGGTGGGCACTGCTGGACACCTCCCCGGCACATCCCTTCTGGTCCGTCCCCAAAACATGCTAGCTGGAACTGGAGCTAAGGGATCGGTCAATATTGAGATCTAGTTACTCTGGGCAGTGACACCAAGAAGGATGATAACTCATATGGCCAGAGTCATTGTCATTGCAAGTCCGTTTGTTCCCTTGATTAACTTATCTGCTAGGCGAGGCTGGGTGGGGTGCAGAAAGGCTGGCTGCGTGACCAAGGAAGGTCCTCATGGAGTTTGAATTCCATGTCTCTGGTCTTCAAACAACAACAGTGGCTGGCTTCAGGGTGCTTCACGTGGCTGGGGAGCTGGTCTCTCTTACTGCAGGTAAGAGGGCAGGTAACCTCAGGAACCATTGGCACATCATCTCAAAAGAAGGCTTCCTTCTTCTGGGTGTGTGTCTTCAGCTAGCCTCACTCCAGGGTTACCACACAGTTCAATCCCTTCTTGCACACTGATTGCATAGTCCATTTTAATGCTCAGTCCAGGTTTCATCACTTATGAACTATAAGTCCATAAGAGTGCAATAAGCGCCTTGCAGGGCAACAAGGGCAGTGATAGATGATTCTGGAATCACTTTCATCTTTGGCTTGTTCAGTAGTTAGTGGTAATTAGAATATGGCTTATGGACTGGAGGAGGCTTTTAGAGTGACCTAATTAAAGAAGTTCAAGACTATCCAAGTGAGCAAAGGGGCTAACATAGCAATAGGAGGCATCAAATAAATGAGCCCCACTCATTTAGCTCTTATGCCTATTGGTGTTCATGTCAGACTCTTGAACAAACTTACTCCCAACAATACTCTCTTGGCAGTGATTTATGTATTGAGAGATGAAGATGTTTCAAGCTAAGATGATCTGTGTCAGAACTGACTTCCTTGGCGCTAGTTCTGATATTATACATAGTTCAAACAGCCCCCTCCCTTGTGATCAGTCCAATCACACCAATACACCAAGCACGCCAAAATCTACTCTGCACCATTAACCCTCCCCCAGCACCTGCAAGCTTAGTATCTAGCAGTGTGTGGTGTCCAAGGTCAAGCATGCATTCTTCCCAGAGATGGGAGGCCCCGCATAATACTGTTACAAGCTAGCACAACTTCCAGCAAAGCAGCTTCACACACACACACACTCGCATGCTCCCAGACCCCCCCTCCCACCAGAAGCAAACAGGATAGCAGGCATATAGGACCAAAAAGTGCTAAAGAAACCATGGCAAATGTGGCCCAACAGTTGGCCAGTGAGAACAAAATTACCATACTACATTTCCCTTATAAATAAAAGCCGAATGGTGGTGGAGGTCCGCTGCTGAGAGCCTATGGGACTCTCGGCTACTGTAAATATCCAGTAGGAAGTAGGGTGTGTGTTTTGGTGGTGGGTTTTCCAGTACATATAAACCGGCCTGCGGGCCGGCTTACTTTTGTCTTGTTCCTGCTTAAATAAAGTACTCTTGCTGAAATCACTCCACGTTTCTGAGTACTTTTCAAGAGGCATACAGGACCAAAAAGAACTAAAGAAACCATGGCAAATGTGGCCCAACAGTTGGCCAGTGAGAACAAAATTACCATACTACATCTCCCGAATGGTGGTGGCACTTCTCTAGAACATTCTACACGCTCCAAAATCAGTTCGCTCTCTGATCTGTCATTCAGAGGGTCTCCCTATCCACTGGCTGCTTTGCCTGAGTCCTGCCTCCAACATTCTAAACATTTTGCTGTTCCTCTCCCCCCCATAGCCAATCATTGGCCTTTGCCTTGGAACACAGAGGTCGTTTGCACATGTGACTTGATTGGCTTTTGCCTCTAACATTCTAAACAGTTTGCTGTTCTGAGGTAAAATGTGTCCAATCTCCAGGTGAGGGCTGGAGATCCCTCAGAATTATAACTGCTTTCCAGATGGCAGAGATCAGTTCCCCTGGAGAAAATGGTGGTCACTGTATCCTTATATGCTGCTGAGGTGGCCCCCATATGACAGCCAATGTGACGTAGCAGTCAGGGCTTCAGAGCACGGGAGAGGCTGCAGGTGTGTGTGGGGTGGAAAGCTGAAGAGTGAGGGGGAAATAAAGGTAGGTTGATGATTGGCTGGGAAGGAGATAGGGTTGCCAACTCCAGGTGGGAAATTCCTGGAGATGTGATGGATGGAGCCTGGAGAGGGTGAGGTTTCAGAAGGTGTGGGATCTCGGGCAGCCATAGACTCCACCCTCCAAACCAACTATTCCCTTCTGGGGAACCATTGTTGCCAATCTCCAGGTGAGGGCTGGAGATCACTCAAAATTACAACTGTTCCTTAGGTAGCAGAGATCAGTTCCTCTGGAGAAAATGGTGGACTCAGTGTCATTATACCCTGCTGAGGTCGCCACAGCAAATTGACACTGAGTGTCCAAGGCCGGGGCACCCGCCCAGAGCCTCTTTCTAGAGGTCGTTGTATTTATTTCCACAACGAACCTTTTTCCTAGTTTGTAAATAAATTCTATAGTTTATCACAATTTTAAAAGAAACCATATAGTATTATTGCTTATTATGTGTACAGTGTCAGTAACATACTCAGTAAAAAATGAAAAAGACAGGTCTGTTTAACAACACAAACCTTTATCCCAAATGAAAGAAATCCCAAGTGGGTATTACTGCATTCGCTCACATTCTGTCTTTATTTCTTTCTTTCTTCTGTTGTCTTCCCCTGCCTTTACTCCTTGCTATCAAAATTTTAATTATAAGCCAGTTGCAGAATTTACAATAAGTAGTTCTAATTTTAGCTAACTTTGTTACTGTATACATTTGTATTTCATTCTCTCTCCAAGAAGCACCAGATGTATTCCCTGTTGTTTTTCCCCCCTATAATGTACACTTAGTTTAATATTTTGCAATTTTTGGTTGAACTGTTTATCAAATTTACTAAGAAACAGAAAAAAAGTGGTAAAGGATGGTATTTATATTGAGCAAGGATTGTGATTAGTTTGCTAAAGGCCATGTGGAGTCTTCCTTAATGCTACAGGAAATGAAAAGACCTGAGGAGAGATTGGTGGTACCCAGAACAAGATTACAACCAATTTCTCTTCAGCTCTTTCCGTTTTCCGAAGCATTAAAGAAGAGAAACCTCATGGCCTTAGTGAGCTGATCACAATTCAACTCAAGTATTAGTGGGTATTTAGTTCTAGAAGGAATTTATCACTGTGGCATTTGTGCTTTGTATACAGGCATCTCTGAATGCATGCATGACTCGGATATAACAATTGTGCTGGTAGTACAAATCATCAGATTTGGAAATGAAATTAATTCTTGATATTATGTGCTTGTATTATGGAATGATATGGCTGAAAATTGACTCAACAATCTTTTTATCCATCCCTCTGTGATAATACAAGGACTTTCATTTATTATATCCTTTCTATGCAACAAATTAATTTTATCCATATCAAACTTTTCTCATGATAGCAAGTGAATCAAACAACTTTCTGTGAAGAAAAAGGGGAAATGTGGGAAACCACTTTGGCTTGAGGGATTTCCCCCCCTTGACAACAAATATAATGGATATGACGGCTGCCATCAATAAAATTATACTCCATTTAATTAACATTGATAATTGCATTTAGAATGAAACCATCATATTTTATATTGAAAAAAATTAAGCTGTTAACATTAGGGTGTGGTGACCAAGTCTGGACAAAATTAAAAAGTTGCATGTAAACATGAGAGGAAGACAGATACAGATGGGATGTGTTCCAAGCAAATTTGCATGTAAACATGAGAGGAAGAGCTATAGATGGGATGTGTTCCAAGCAAATTTCAGCACTTGTCCTATTTCAGTATGAGAGTTAAAAACTTGACTAACCCTTTTATTGAAATAAATGGGATTTAAAACTGTTTCACTAGCTGGGTTTTGCTGATATTTCACTTTTTGTCACATTACAGGTATAGTAACTTTGAGTCACATTTTATAATGTTCATTATTGTTACTGTAAAATATTTTTTATATATTTGATGGCAAGTGCTATACAATAAATCAGGGCCTGTTTACTTTGAGATGACTGATGTAATACATGAAATATTCTCTTTTACTATCTAGATGGGAAAGGTGGAAGCAGATCTAAGCAGATCAAAATCTCTTCGTGAAAAGCAATCCAAAGAATTTTCCTGGCAGTTGGAAGAACTCAAGCAAAGATATGAACAACAGGTTAGCTGGTTTATTTTTTTACAGTAAACATTACTGGCATTTACATTTGCATCACAGGTTTGTCCACTTTGCTTATTTTATTTTCCCTTTTGACCAATAATTTTGGATTATTTGACATCTGCTTCCAGTGCTGCCTTTAGTGCACAAAAGTTGTCCCCCCCAACCTTTGTACTTGCAGTGAAGCTTTTTATTTACTTCAAGTCATTTCCATCTTTTTGGGTTATACATATCATGACCTCTTTCTATAAGTGAAAATTTAATTATTTGCTTTTGTCTACTTGGTCTGTGATGCTGTACTTCAGCTGTTCCAGACCTAGTTTGATGAATCCAATTAAAATTTGCCTCCTTCTAAATCCCAGGTTCTTGACATATCCGTTCATTGACAGTAGTAGGAGCTGGTCAGAAGACAAGAGGATGAAAGTGTGAAAGATATAGGTTTCTCTAGCGCACTGTGGTACCTTGTAGGGCACTGCCTACAGCTATTTACAAGTATCTGATATGACTTTTGTAGTTATTTTGCATTTCACAAAAAACAGGAAAAAACAGTATTATGTGCAGATCTTAACAGCTTCCCTCTTGTTAGGTGTAATATTTATAGACAATTTGTGTGCTGTTGAAGTCTATGTCTGTTGTTACATTTGTTCATTGTTAAGGGTGTATCAGCTCCTGGTTTATCAGATTAATGTCAGATAAGTTCAGGAGATTCCTGACGAGCAATGTAGACATAACATGGTGTGAGAGATGATACATTTGGTACTAGATGGTAATCCTTGGATCTGTTTGCATATCCAGGCTGTCCTCAATGAGCTGGGGTGTGTGTCTTTTCTTCCTCTCTTACTATGTATTCAGTGCCACCAATTCTATAAGACCAATAGCCTTTACAATGCCAAAACCAAGCTTTTGAGTCATATAGAACACCATCAGAACCATAGGGGTGCAGATGCTGGTAGGCCTTGCTCTTTTAGGAACAATCCTGTTCCTTCTCTGAGCCTTCACCTTTCAAATAAAAGTCTGTAGCAATTTTACTTTGCAGTACAAGGGAAAACATACACAGAGCTCCTCAGTAAGAAGAATTCTCAATGGTTAACTCATCAGTACGAAATAAATTTGGTCTTTCCTTCCAGTGGTCTGGTAAACAGATATAAAGCACTGGGTTAACTGACATTAGCTTGGTGCTTATTACCAATTATGTAAGCCACCCTGAGCTCGCTTCCGGGGAGGGCGGGGTATAAATAAATAAATAAATTACTCTTTATGCTAAATAGTTCTTTAATTTAAAGTTAAAAATATTCAAGTGCTTGTATTTTTTTGTACTGACATGTTCTCTTCTCCAGCAAGAATATTCATAGAAATATCAAACATACGTTTTTTTTAATTTATAATTTTTATTTTCAATAACAACCAAAACAACACAGCATAAATAAAATATTGCATACAATCAGAAATAACTCAGATGACATTATGTCTAACTTTACATAAACAACTTAGTGTTTTTGAATATGTGAGGGGGGATTTTTCAAATACAGGAGCTGATTGCCCCAGCCCAAATCCAGCTCTAGAAGATTCAGGTATCTCAACAACCTAGCCTATTATAAACTCAACCTTCCCTCCCCCCAAAGAACATTCAAACTTAATACCTAATCTAATATTCTAAATGTTCTAAAATCTACATAAACAGAAGAAATACAGGAACCAGCTTTACATAGCTGGTTAGATAGCCCAATGCTATCTCCTGTTTCCCTTAAACTAGGAGCTACAAACTATTACAGCTCCCCCCTTCCCCCCTGTCATATTAAAGCATTTCAAACTACCTATTCAAAATCATACAGTATGTTTCCATTGTGTAATGATTATGAAGCTTATCTGCTTCCAGTATACACTGGAAGTTTGCTGGATTTCAGTTGAGACAACGGAAATAAGTTTCTTCTTTTAAAGGATCTTTTCCCTCCCTCTGGTTCCATTGGAGTTTCTGTTTGCAGAGCTTACATTAGCTGTTTTCCGCTTTCTTCATCATATGCATAAAAATGCTTGCCTTGATAATAAACATAGAGTTTACCAGAGGGTAACCATCGATATTTTTGATTTAAATCCTGCAGCTGTTTGGTGGTTACTTGTAATTTTTTCCTGATCAGCAAAGTGTCTCTCAGGACATCCAGATAAATAGAAATTTGTTCTCCCACATATACAAAAGTTTTAACATTTTGAGCCTCAATTAGGATCTTTCTCTGTACTCTTATATCAGGTATTGTAATGAGAATGTCTCTTGGAGTATTTCGTTTAGTGTTATAATTAAATCCTATACGGGTTGCATTAGTGATAATTGGAAATACACCTTCCTCAAGCTTCAATGCATTTACTATGAAAGAGGCTACAAAAGAAATGAAATCTTCATTACCTTCTGCCTCTTCCGGAAATCCACGTAATTTCAAATTTGCAGCTTTTTGTTCAGTTTCCACAGTCAATAAACGGTCTGTAACAGTAGATACATGCTTAGATAAATGTTTAATATTTGTCTGATTTTCCTTGCTATGCTCCAGCGCTGAATCTGCTTTCTCCACTGCTTGTGATACAGAGAGTTTACATGTGATGTAAGGGTAGTAATACAATTGATCAGGCTAGTTTCCATAGTCTTTAGATAATCCAAAATTGTCGATTCGGATGTCTGCTGTGTGCTGCTGTCTGCCGGTTTAGTGATCGCCGCCATTTTGTCTTCAGTATGCTTGTGTAGGCGTCATTTTTTTTCAGCCTCAAAAAAATCCTTAAGTGTCCGAGAATTGCTGAAAACCCCTTTAATTCTTATCTTCTCTCTCTTGCCCATATCGGGAGGTGGTTTTAGTGTGTTTCAAGGTAGTTTAAGCATTTTTTCAAAGGAGAAAGGGTACTGTGGGACCTGGAGCTGCAAAGTTATGCGGCTGCTATCCTCGATAGCCCCGCCCTGCTCCCCTCAAACATACTTTAAAAAAAAATATTAAGTCTTCTGCAAGAGTCCTCTTTTCTGCTCAGCTTTCATGTCTCTCCTTTAAAATTCTTGTGTACTGGTTCATTATTACCTTTCTATATTATGTTTTCTGGCAGCAAACTTACAAGATGACTTCAGTGCAAGTTACTTCTAAATATTATTTTCTTCCTTGTAGTCACTGTGCGGGTTCACTTATTGGGTTGATATTCTTCTTAGTAGTACCAGCTTGTTTTAAGTTCTTTACTTACAGTCAAGGTGTGCAGTTTTTAATCTTTGTTTTTTGATACTGTCATGTCTTAAAGGTGAATAAGTGCATTCCACAATATTGATTAAAGTGGATTGTTATAAATGAGCAGTAAGACATAACATGTACGTGTATCATATAGTTTGCCTCAGGTTATGTAACAAGGTTACCATGCCAAAGCCTGCACTATGAAATATACTGCCTAGCATGTTTGATTGCTGTTAAGGAAAATAGTGTATATAAAAGACACACAGAGAGAAATATAGATATACTTGGCATTGATATTTTTACAGAATAGTTATGGTACATGGAGAGATTTTTGGAAAGCTGAAGGTTTCCAAAACTTTATGTTGTTGTATACATTTGGCAGAGCAAATGATTGCCAGGGTAGTCCCTACAATCCTTTCTGTAGCAGAATTACCATAGACTTCAATAACCTTTAGTTCAAATAGAAGATTATTTTTTTTGCTTGGTATTGGCTTTTCGTTTGTCCTATTCCTTTAAATCGTCCCATTCCTTAAAGGAGCTTAAAGTGGTGTGCGTGGTTCTCTTAATGTCTGATAAGATCAGCATAGCTAAATGAAGCTCCCTTAAAGTTAAATGTCAAAAAAACATGTTCTCCAGTGGTCCTGGGAGTGGGGCAGTCCTGACTCCTAGGATCACAGCTCCTCCTCTCTGTAGACAGGGCCGGCCAACAAATCTCAGTTCCAGAGGGGAGGGGTTTATCCTCTGATTCCCCAGTCTTACCGGCCCTGCCTTCTGAGCAGGGCGTGCCTCGAAGGTGCTTTGGAGCACAATCGGTCCCAGGAGAAAGAAGAGAAAAATTCAGCTAGGAGGGGAAGGACTTGTCCTCAGCCCCTCCAGGCAACTAAGGTTTGGCCGCAGTGAGGCCGAGAAGCCTTTTTTTGATCCGATGACCCCGGGAGAGCCCTGGCGACCCCGGACAATCCCTGTCCCCATGGAGGCCGCCTTCCCTTGGGTCGGCTGGGCCTGCCTCCCATGCCAGTACAGAGAGAAGGGGAGAAAGCGGCAGAGCTGGGAAAAGAGCCGTGGAGAGACAAGGGAGTCCCATCGGACCTCCGCCAGGATCGGAGCTCCAGCCTCGTCCATCTGATTTTCCATACCACAAGAATGCATGTCAACCCTATTAATACTAACTTATGTCCTTCTAAAGTTAATAATCTGGAATTTTCTAATGTGATCCATTCTTTTAGCCGCGTCAGGGTTGCTGCTCTATAGTGTAAGAGCCAATCAGATAAAGCAAATCCGGCTCTTTCTTTTGTATCTTGTAAGGCCTTTATTTTTATTTTTATTGGCTTCTTGCTCTGCCACATGAATTTTATCATCGTTTTATCCAGATCTTTAAAATATTGCTGGTTTTGGAGAACTGGGATTGTTTGAAATAAAAATATCAGTCTTGGTAAAATGTTCATCTTTATTGTAGCTATTCTGCCCATCAAATATATTTGTAGGTTTTTCCATTTTTACAATTATTTTTGGATCTCTTGCATGAGTTCCATGTAATTATTCTTCACCAGAGAGGTACATCTATTTATTATTATACCTAAGTATTTCACTCTTTTTTGTGCTTCAAAGCCTGATTTCTCTTGTAACTGCTGGATTTGATCTTTAAGACATATTTTTTTGTTTTGTTTTAGTCAAGTTGATCTTCAAACCTGCAACTTGACCATATTTCTGCAGTGTTGTTAATAACTGTGTAATTGAGTCCAATGGGTTTTCTAAGATAAATACCAGGTCATCTGCAAATGCTTGTAGTTTATATTCTTCTCTTATTTT